TATCCTTAAACACTTACTTAAATCTACTTAGCATTTCCCAAGATGAAGGCCCTCTGAAATCTACCACATCTGTAAAACCTCTCATTGTCCCTTTTCTTTCCCCAAGCATATGGCCATGCTCCTCACAGTCTCACAAACCTCCTAAGTATTTCTGATCCCCCCTTTCAATATCGTCTCTCCTACCCAACTAAGATCTACAGTCTACAGAACAAAGGAACCAGAAAAACAACCAATTCACACAATATAATTAACATAAACTTTTTTTTTTTTTTTTTACTTTGGGCTCACTTGTTTTTCTTTTGTTATTTTTTTGGTTTTTTGAGACAGGGTTCAGCCAGCCCTCCCTGACTGGCCTTGAACTCAGAGGACCCCCCCCCCACCATTCTGCCACTGCCTCTCTAGTGCTGGGATTAAAGGTGTGCAAACATCTTAACAAACATCTTAAAAACATTTTCAAGTGACACTAAGTTTACAAGATTTCTTCCGATGGCACCAAATTACTTACTGTTTTTATACAAAAGTAATAAACTTAGCTCCACTCAAGTCTTCCAGGTCTCAGGCTGACCAAGTGAGACAGCACTTACTAGTGACCATCCTTTTTTTGGAGTGTGGAAGGAAAGAGAAGGCCATTTTGCTGAGCTTCCTGAGTGGACCCAGAGAGCAGCAATGCAAGTTCACGCTCAGATAAGGAAGCTGCATGTTAGCTCTGTAATTTCCATAAGCTTCTGCGTCCACTGATGCACACTTCCAGCTTTCTTAAATTTATTCTCCAGCATTCATCTTAATGTCTACAAGTTCACAAATCTTGTAAACTTCAGAATTTCAGCTAGATCTAATTTTATTAATTTATACTTCTATAACAATGTGAGGAAACTTACTAAATTCCAAAGAACTTCTTTGGTCTGTGAATCTACTAGATAAAAATGGTACATAATAAGATGTTTTGCTTAGGTTTCATTTAGTTTTTTAAGCAGTGTCTCAACTGTATAGCTAAATTTACAGACATACGCTACCATACCCAATATTCAGTCTTGGTTTATATTTGTATTCCGTATGAAGTTGAAAGTCTTAATATATGCACAATATAATTTGAATTTCTGTTTTGAGACTGTCCACGCCCTTTGCCTACTTGGGGTTAATCTCTTGCATAGTGGCTAGTTAAGTACCCTTTGCAGATTTAGGAAGTTAATCTTTCATCTTCAGTCGAATATGCAGCTATTTCTCCAGTTTCTTCATTGTCATCATGCTATTTTTAATTATTTCATGTCGTACTGATTCTTCTACACATACATCTTTCTTAAACTGTTTGTTTCATTCGCTTGTATATCCTTAAAAGAATGTTTTTTATACCTTTAGAAATGAAGATCAAATTAAAAAGTAAAGATAAAACTGCTTCAGGAATGACTGAGCACAGACCTTATCATGGGGTGTCTACTGGGATTACACATGGTTACAATGTACAACCAAGTTCTGATAACAACTAGTCTGTCAAACAAGGAATCACTCAGTACTGGCTGCTGTCTCCAGTTGCCTGCGCAGGTACTATAGAAATACAGAAGCTGCTGGTGGAGGAACAGAAAGTGCTCTTCTATAGCCAGCGAAGAGCAAGCCACACATTGTTCTAGAAACAAGGGGAGAATGGTAAGAAACCTATCCAGAAACAAGGAGTGTAAAAGAAAAAGCTGAAGATGAGGAGGCAAGTCAGGGTCAGGTCACATGCAGGAACTAACAAGGAGTGGAAAGGATCTAAAAATAAACTTTAAACAAACAAACAAACAAAAAAAAAACCCACTCACTGTCCCACCTTCAGTTCTAGTTCCACCTCAAACCTGGGACAACCTCAAAGGGTAGGCCTTTGGGAATCACCATCCCCAAGTATTTAAAACACTTAAGTGTCACTGGAATCTAGCAACAAATGATCATTTTACTATAAGCAGAAAAATGTCTCTTCTGGTATGCTACACTTAGAAAAGAAAAAGCGGGGCTGAAAAGATATCTTAGCAGTTAAGAGCCCTTGCTCCTCCTCCAGGACTAAAGTTCAGTTCCCAGCACCCATCTGGGATGGCTCACAACCATCTGTAAATCCACTTTCAGGGGATCCAATAGCCTCTCCTATCCTCCATGGGCATTCAGGCATACCCATACACATACAAAGTAAGTAATTTTTTGTTTTTTGTCTTTTTAAGGCAGGGTTTCTCTGACTGTCCTAGAACTTGTTTTGTAGACCAGGCTGGCCTTGAACTCATAGAGATCCACCTGCCTTTGCCTCCTGGATAAAAGGCGTGTGCTACCACCAAAAGGAAAGAAAAAAGGAATTTCTGGATAAAAGCAAAATCAAGATCTTAAAGGAAAATCGAAGCAATTTAGAAAGATGGAAACTACTCTAAATTGTTAGTCATTATGTGAATGAATGTACCATGAAAGAGATTTGAGAAAGGTCTCTGAGTTGTTCTATAATTAAGGAAGGTCATAAAAGCTAACTTTTCTCTAACCTGTTAAAAATGCATTTTATTTTATTTCCTGAGCTCACTCTCTAAAATGGCCACAACAAAGTTAAATATTATCAGAAAAGAGAATGCAGGCTTTATTACACTGGGTAAGAATAATCGTAACTTCCCAGGACTCTGAAAGAAGACTGTCTTTCCTTCTGTAGGGAAATGAATGTAAATTTAACTACAAGGGATGTTTTGATACCTCCTCCTCTAAAAGCATTCAAAAGGAGATCTATCTGCTTTAAAAGGTTTGGAATTAGTATACTTCAAACAGGAGTGATGATCTCTCCAGATCCTTCAAGACAACTAATATCTGTGTACATTAAACAAGTAATTAAACCTACACTACTTTCTAAGATTAATGCTGGTAAAAATCCGATCTCTGAAAGCTAGAATGCATTCATGAATCTTTCATGGTTATTTAGTTAGCCCATTTAACAGTAGTTCAAAAAGTACACTGTTAATAACAGTCTGTAAGGAGAGGTACTTTGTGAGTAAAGTGTGAGTTAAAGGAAAAGTTCCACACTGAGATCAAGGTTCTGAATGCATCCTCCTCAGCATACTCTCAGGCAGCTTGGCAATATGCCCAGGGTGATTAGCAGCCAGTGCAAGCAGAGCAGGGATCCAGTTGAAAGGAACTGCAAAGGCTCCCCCAAGCGGTCACACACAAATAACAGCGAACATGGGGCAATCACTGTCGCTGCTTTTGAAGTTAAAACTCAAAATACTCTAAACAAAACTGATGCCTACAATTAGAGAGAAATGTAATCAAATACTAGTACCGCAATAGTAGAGAGGTCTTCTTCCATGCTTTAAGATGCGATGTTTATAAACAGAGAATTACTTTTGGAAGAAAGATGAAAACCTAACAGTAAAATAGAACTACAATAATTTTTCTCTATAATTTTCTAGGGAATTTTTCAGTGATGCTATAAACCTAACTTAGAATTTAGAGAAGTTCCTTTAAGCCGTCAGTCATCTGCACTGTCTGTAAATGACATAAAAATACAAATGGGTCTTCCTACCCCTCTCAGAATCTATTTTCTGGGTGTTTTAATCACCGAGAGTCTCTGACTAGCATGTGTACTCTACAGTTTGCAACTCTCTCAGCAATGATTTGCCACTGCCACCCACTTCTGATAAAGCTCAGATGTCCAAAATGTGCAGAGCATTTAATTAAAACATCTGTTGTCTTCTGCTAATCATCCATTATTCAGTGAAGTCTATATATGTATGGCAAATATTCACACAGGCAAGACGATTTTAAAACTTTATAAAACAGCTACCCTGAGTCTCATGATTGTCCTTCTCCTTTTTTGATTTCAATCTCAAGCTTACAGGTGAAGGAGAGCGGAAGCAGCCTGAATATTCTAAAACAATTTCAGCATGAAATGAGCATCAGAAAAAAATTGAACTGCTCCCTCAAATACTTAAGAAAATTATAAAGTCCAACATTTTTCCAGAAGAGAAACAAAACAGGATTCTGTCTTACATAGTGCTATCAGACTTAACTCCAACAGTTTGATTTTTTTACCTAGAAATTTTTTTAAAAAAATGAAGATCTCACTATTCCAAGGTAGAAATGGAACTCACTGACAAAATTTACAAAAGACACACATCCTCCTACTTAGCCTGTAGTCTCGATAGGACAAACGGAGCAATTCCAAGTGATATCATTTGTGCATTATGTAACCCTAATTTAGAATAAAAGAAACATGAGCCTTAAAAAGCAATACATTTAAATATATGAAGGCTTTAAGATATAAACGACCTCAAAAATCAAATAACCCCCAAAGTTACTGAGGTACAGAGTAGTAAGGCCTCTGAACACAACACTATAACCAGGCCTAGCAGTTTCTCACAACTGCACAGCCTATGTCTGGTGCCTTGTTTGACCAGTGTACCAAAACTATCTCAGCCTCGGTAACGATGTACTACCTCACCTAACACATGAGACATTTGTAAGTCGTGCCCCCCCCCCGCCAAAAAAGATGATCTGAAAGACTACACAGGAAGAAATAGCTGCTAAATCATACTCCAAGAGAAGAGCAATTTAACGCATCCCGAATACTGTCAGCTATATTACAAGGAACCCATTCAGAAGGCTAAAGTAAAATTCCAAGAATTCCCAGGGGCGTAGGAAGAGAGTAAAAGCATGGCTAGTTTGACCTTAAGCGGCTGCTTTTTGAGTAATGCGGAGAATTTTCCAAGCCTCTCACCGACAGCCTTCGAGGCTCTTCCTCACCGTCTCCCTCCTCCCCAACTACAGAAATGCCCGCCCTAGAAGAGGGGAGTTGAATGACTGTAATCTCGGGCTGCGATCCTAGGAACTGGTAGCTTGAAAATAAAGTCCCGATGAAGTGTCAAAAAAAAAGTACCCCCGCAAGAAAAATAACAACAAAATCCACCCCAACCAATCCACAAGCTGTCACCGCGCTGTCGGATCTGCCATCTACGCCCCCCAGGTCCGCTGCCCGGTCGGCACACAAGGGAGGAAAAGGCAGGCACCTTTTCTGCTTCCAGACAAATGTGCCCAGGCTGCGAGAGCACGCGCTGAGCGGCGACCGCCCCCGCAGAGGCGTGTGCTCGCCCACGGCCACTTTGGCCAAACAACTGGAAACCTCGTGGCTCA